TTCCCGCCCGCAGGCTGGGGGGAGGGGGACGAAGCCTCAGGGAGGTGAACAGTCCTCCTTGCGAACCTGGCCGCTCCTGGGGAAGCATCTTAATATCAGCTGCAGGCCAGGGATGGGCCGGGATGCTCTCAGAAGTCCCCTCTGAGATTCTCCAGGATTTGGGTTTGAGGCTGGAGCCTTGTGGGGAAGGGGCAGGGGTGACCTGGAGCTGGAGAGGCCTGAGTGGACCCCAGCCCCGTGGTTCCCTGGCTCACGTGACCTCTGAGTTGGGGACCGCCCCTCCTGTTGCAGGTCTGTCCTGAGAATCCAAGAAAGCATGGGCGTGAGAGGGCTGGGTTTCCTTGGCATCCTGGCCGGGGGGCCCGGGATTGGGTCCTGGCCTCCAGGGTGTGGTCCTGCTCAGCCTGACGGCGTCTGGGGTGCCTGGCTGTCTGTAGCTTCTGCACCTGCCACTTTCGCCTCTGGTTTCCAGGCGTTTGCCCACACTCCTGTGAATTTATTATCTGCTTTAGACAGGATGCTTGGTTGCAAGTGACAGCTGCTCAGGTCACCCTGGCTTCAGAAAGGAAGAGAATCCTGTGGTCTCATGAACAGAAAAAGTCCCAAGGTAACACTAAGTGTGTGTCGGTCGCTCAGTTGTGTCTGGTTCTTGGCGACCCCATGGACTGTAGACCGCCAGGCTCCTCTGTGCGTGGGATTCTCCAGGCAAGAACACTGGAGTGCGTGGCCATTTCCTTCTCCAGGGGATCTTCCCGACCCAGGGATTGAACCCCAGTCTCCTGCATTACAGGTGGATTCTTCACTGTCTGGGCCACCAGGAGAGCCCAACACTGACTAGTTAACACTAACCTTGGGCAAAATGCGGTTCAGGTGCTCCAAGGATCCTGTCAGGATTCTATGTTGCTTCCCCTCCCAGCTCTGCTCTCCTGTGTTGGCGTCTTTCTCGGGCAGGCCCCCTAGCGTGGTGGCAGAAGTGACCCCCAGGCTCGTGGCCCGTCCTCGCACAAACCTGCAAAGGGCCGATGGGAGCAGAAAGCATGCCTCCCCCAGTAGCCAGAGCCCCAAGCCTGTTTCTCAATTGGATGAGCCTGGGTCACCTGCTCACCCCTGGACCAGTCACGGCCTGGGTGGGTCAAGCCTCCTCTCACCCCTCCTTCAGCTGGGGTTGGGGGGTGGGGAGGGCAGCGGGGATGGGGAGCTGACACCAGGGACCCCTCAAGACCATCAAGGTACTGATACCTGCGCAGGACGTGGAGGCTGAACAGGCTGAGCTAGCATCCCATGCCCACCCGCTCTCCAAGAGCAGCATGGAGGGCTGAAGCGGCCATGTTCGGAGCCCCCATCTCAGCTCAGGGCACCCCCCCTAGGCTAACTGCAGGCCCAGAGCTCCGGTGAGCTTTGAGTCACTTTCCCACAAATTTCCCATGTGTCCCAAGAAGTTATTAGGGGCTGGGCCCAGGGCCAGGGTGGAGGGGCGAACTGGCCTCCAGGGTGTCTCTCACCATCTCCCAGGCTGGGGGCCGCCACAGAAAAGGGGAGCAAGTTCGTCTGGGATGTCTCATCCTCATGAGTCCCTGTGGGGTCCGGGTGAGGGGCTTCCTCTTGCGAGCACACACGTGGCCATTCTCTAATAATCCACGGTGCTGGCAGAAGGCTCACCTCTCCGGGTGTTCCCCTCCCCCTTGAGTCTGAACGCAGGAGGGACGGTTCCGCCTCATCACCAGCAAAAGTGCCACCGCTTTTTGCACTAGACCTTGCTGGCACTAAAGATACGATTATATCTAAAGTTGCTCGGAGACTCTCAGGACTCCTTCTTGGTTCCTTCATCGTTATATGAATTTTCTCCTTTTTCCTGGAGCCTGTCTCCTTGAAAGAGGAAGCAGAAGCCCCATCCCCGTTGGGAGAACCATTTCAGAAAGAATACGGAAGGACTTCCCTGGTGGTCCAGTGCCTAAGACTCCAAGCTCCCAGTGCAAGGGGGCTGGGGTTCGATCCCTGGTCAGGGAACTAGATCCCACGTGCCACAATTAAGAGTTCACAGGCTACAACTGAAGATCTCGCATGCGGCAACTAAGACCCAGTGCAGCCAGATACACACAATAAATAAATAAATATTCTTAAAAATACAAAAAGAACAGTGGGTCAAGAGGCCCAGCATCCTCAGGACAGGGACACCAGCTCTGGCCTGGCCCCTTTGGCTGTGTCCTGAGATCAGGAGAGGAAGGTACACTTTAACCCCCAGGCCATCTGTCAGGACAAGGGAGCTGGTCTTTGAACTGTCATTACTTGCCTGTTGCATTTTCTAGATACTACAGCAGTCAGATCTCAGGAGAAAGAGGGTGAGGATAATCTAAAACGATGGCTTATCCACGGATGGCATCCTTCAGGCTGTGAGACGATCTTGGGGCTCCTTTCCCAGCTGTGTTTTGGTCGTGGTGCTATGGGAGGACTCCAGTCCACTCGCAGGGGTGGGGGACAGCCTAGGAAGATGCTGGGAGAAGGGGGTGAGTGTGTCCCAAGTACCCACCCCCCCCACCTCCACCCCTGCCAAGCAGGCTGAGCCCAGAGCAGCTGACCCGGTGTCCACTGGTTAAATGTTCCCTTTTATGAGGCAGACCCTTGGCCAAGGTGACTTGCTTGCTTGTCCCAGCTTTCCAGATGTGGGTGGTGGTGACTCAGGGAGGTATGCAGTCCCTGGACCCCGGGTGCATTCTACCTTATCTGAAATAAGGTAGATAAGGTATTCTTTGGTGGTTTCTTTCTGCAGCAGAGACAGGCTCTGGGGAGTGGGGAGTTCAGGGCTCAGACATTAGAGTCTGTGCTCTCTCACCCCAAATCCAGCCACTCTCACCTTGAAGGGACGCCTGCCTGCAACAGCTTCTGCTCTGGTCCCCTCTTTCCCCTCCAGTCTGGTCTCTGCTCTTCCTAAAACACATCTCATTACACACACTCCCTGCTGCCACCCCCCCACCCCACCCCCCCCCACCCCCCACCCCACCCCACCCCCGTCTCTCTCCTGATCTCTTTTTTTTTTTTTGCTATTTTATTTATTTATTTATTTATTTATTTATTTATTTATTTATTTATTTAATCACAACCATAGTGTATCTTTTTTTTTTTTTTTAACATGTATTCCCCATCCCGGTCCTGATCTCTTAGGATAAAGTTCTTAGTACGACCTCCAAGGGCCCATGTCGTCTGGTCCTGGTTTACAACTTCCTGTCCACACGCTGACCTGGCCCGACTCCAGACGGACCCACCTTGGTGTCCGTTGCCCAGCACACACCCCAGCACTGTCTGCACGGTCACGGGGTGTCTGCAGCCTGGCCACCACCCTTCCCGCCGACCCCCCACACAGCCCCTCCTAGGTCCTCAGCTCCTGGGAACCTCTGACCCATGCAGGAGCTGGGCCCCTCCTGGGCTCCGAGGGCCCCGGTGCCACGTCCCGTATTCCCCGTCACAGGTTGGGGGTGTGTTCCCAGTGGCTCCCTTGTCTGCGGATAAGCAGGGAGCCCCTGATGACTGGGGCTGCGTCCTGTTCACAGTGGTGCCCTTGGCCGGGTGCGAGCACGTGTAAGGTAGGAGTTGAGGGGACAGGTGCTCGGAGTTGTGGCGGGGTAAGTCACCTTCCTGGGCTTTGTCTCCCCCGCCCCCCGCCACAGTGGGGAGGGCGGTCCTGGTGTTGCTGCGCGGACAAGCATGGGGCAGGTGAGGGCACACGCAGGGCAGCGCGGGGCTCATGGGGGTCTGACCTTTGGGGGAGCTGTTATTAACCGTGGGCTGGAGCCCCACACCACGTGCTGGCACCTGTGGCGGCCGCTGAAGGCTGGGGCAGAGATGGGACCCCGGGGGCGGAGCTAGGACCTAGGGGCGGAGCTGGGGCCCAGGGGCGGAGCTAGGGCCTAGGGGCGGAGCTGGGGCCCAGGGGCGGAGCTAGGACCTAGGGGCGGAGCTGGGGCCCGGGGGCGGGGTGGGGGGGCGGTGGGGGTGGGGGCGGGGTGGGGTGCGGAGGTGGCCTGTAGATCACACAGCAGAGGGAGCTGTGGGTGGGGGTGAGAGGACCAGAAGGTGGTCAGAGGGACCCCAGGTGGAGGCATGCAGAGCTTCCTCCCTCCGCCCCCTGGACCCCCACATTACTGCCCGTATCTGCCTGCCAGGTCCACCTGGGAGCCTTGCAGACCTCCCCTCCTCCGAGCAGGTCACGGGATCAGCCCCGGCTCTGAGAATCACCTGAGAGCTTTGAAATACTAAGGTGCCCGGACCGCACCCCAGACCGATGGCCGCAGGCTGTGGGGGCGGGGCCTGGGCATAAGCATCCATTACTCTCGCAGGAGGCCCCCTGTGCAGCCGCGTTTGAGAAGCACTATTTGGGGCGGTCCTCTGTGAAGCCGGTTTGACCCAGAGATGCCTATGTAACCTGTAGGGTTAGGAGAGCTTGGAGACCATTGGTTGAGGGAAAATCTCCCCTCCTCAGTCTCCCTATACAAAAACCCACACGAGACATAAGTGAACCCTTCTTAAAATGGTTCAATTAAAAAAAAAAAAAGGAACACATGCATATAGCTCGGTCTTCAGGAGCACAGACAGGCGCTCACAGAACCATCGCCGACCCCAGATCCCCCAGCGGCGGCCTGTGGCGCGGTCTAGACTGCGCTGCTGCGGGTCTAAGTGCCCCTTCTTGGCACTCGGTGGCCCGAGGTGCGGCTGCGTTCTCAGCCATCCTCCCAGAGCCTTGTTCCGCCTGTGCTCTCAAACACTGCAGAGCTCTGCGCACACGGACCAGCCCTGCCGGTCCCCATTAGGTGTCAGACGGGCTGGCTTTGGCTGTCACAGGCAGTGTGACATTGCTCTGCATTCTTCACCATGATTCTTGGTGAAGAATCATGGACTCTGCTCGCCTGGACCACCCCCCTGCAGGGTGAACTGCGACTGGAGTTCTTGGCTCTCAGAACAAGTGGCTTCACGTGACTGACCGGGCACCTGGTTTTCTGTCCTTCCAGAAGCGGTGGGCACCGGTGGCCCCGACGTTCAAGCTGCCCGCGTTGTACAGAACGGAGGACTATTTTCCCGTGGACGTGGGGGAGGTGATGCCCCGAGCCCCCAGCTGTCAAAGGCGTCTGTGAGCGCTTCAGTCCTGCCATCCCGGCCGTGGGGAAGTGAGATCTGTGTGCAGAGCAGATGTGGTTTTCTTCTTTTATTTTATTGTTGTGGATTCGTTTTCTGAGTTTTCCCCTTACTTCACGGGGGTGCATGGGGTTTGGAGAAGCGCTTGGGACCCAGGGGGTGGGAAGTGCCTCAGTGATGAGCTGGGAAGGCCTCCTCCACCAGCTGTGGCCTGCTTGGTGGTCTGGACGAGGTGGTCACCCCTGGGGATAACTGGTCACCCCAGGATACGGGCTGTGGGGACATGGATAGCTTTGCACAGGAATTGTGGGGGTCTTGGGAGGTGTCACCAGGGTGCATGGCTCCAGGCCCATCTGTATTGACTGGTTTGTCTGAACCCCAGTGCCCACTGGCCCTGTGAACCATCTCAATAAAGTGTCAAGAGGTCACCTGGTGTAAATGTTTCCTTGATAGGTGCTCGTGCCACCGAGTCAAGCCAGATCCTCAGAAGCTGCTTATTCTAAAGCCCCTTGCCTGAGGGGAGCGCACAGCTCTGGCCTTCAGATGCTCAGCAGAATGCCAAGACCATTAGGATTTCCTGAGGTCTCCCAAGTGGTGTTTGCTTTAATTTCTCCTCATGTAGGTGGGTTCTGAGCTATTGTCCTGAAACGTTGGGTTCCTCACTTTGGTGATGGCTGTTTCTAGTTTCTGGAATCTTTCCCAGAGCTGAGAACACACACACACACACCCTGTACTACAGACCTGCACTCAGATTTCAAAACACACACACACACACACACACACACACACACCCTGTTCTGCAGACCTGCATTCAAATTTCAAGGAAATCTGACATCATGAATCAGGCAAGAGAGCAGTAGTAGCAAGGCAAAAAAAAAAAAAAAAGTTGAGCCTTGTCAATTTTAGGATACTTTTTTAAATGAAAAGATATTAAGTGAAGCCCTTGTTTCATGTATAGCCAGTGTTTTTGTATACAGATAATTTTTGTAAACTTACTTTAAAATGTTGAGACCTTATTATCCATTATTGAAGTATAAATCCAGTGTTGAGGTCACTGAACTTTCGCACATGAACACATCTGCCTGACCCTCACCCCATCTAGCAGCGCACTCGTCAGAAGCCCCCCGTGCTTCCTTCCAATACCCCCCCCGCCCCCACCCCGAGCTGACAGCATCCTGACGTCTCGCAGCGCACAGGGGGCTGCTGTCTGGGCTTCTCTTCTGGCCCTGGAGGCGGACTGGCGTGTGCAGGCTCAGCGTGGCGGCTTTGTGCCCGCTCCCCCGGCCGCCGCCGAGTCTGTGGGCAGCGTCCCTGTGGCTGCTCACCGTTCGTTGTCACAGCTGCGTTGTATTGATCAGGACTGTTTTTTAATGAAGAGGGACGCTTAGACACTTCCCCGTGCCCTGGTCTGCTGAGGGAGAGCGGAGAGTCGACAGGAAGTTCGTTTTTTTCAGACAAGCGGCGAGGGCACACGTTTCTGGAAGACCGGGCTTGTGTTGATGGCTGGAGGCGCCCACGCTTCTTTCTCCTTCCGAAGCCTGGACCGAGGGCCCGGGAGAGGCGGGTGGGGGGCCACGTGATCAAGTCACAGCCGCGAAGTGTCCTGAAGTAGAGACCCGCGGGCCCGGGCGCACCGTGGCTTTCCCTCTCTGAGCCCAGCCTCCTCCCCAGTAAGAGGCAGAGAATAAGGGCACCTGCCTCTGGGGGTGCAATGAGGAGCGATGGCCTGTGAAGGGGCCTGGCGATGGGCTCTGGGCAGCAGGCGGCTGTGACGGTGGCGGGGCTGGGCGCGGGGAGGGCCGGCCGGCCCGCGCTTCTCGGGGGGCTCTCGGCACCCCAGGGCCCGGGCCTTGGGAATGGCCCTGCCTTTGAGAGTGAGACCAGGGCAGCGGAGTGTGAGAGCCTTCGGAGTCCTGCTCGGCCTCGCCGGCTCTGCTGTCCGGGGACTCTTGGGGGGCCAGCCCTCACCCCCAGGGCAGTGAGGAGGGGTGAGGTTCCTTGACAGCATCTATGGGGAAACGGTGACTCATGAGCTAGAACTGGTTTTCCCAAGTTTCCTGGAGCTGCAGTGCCAAGCAATGAAATTTTAGGGATGCTTGGAGACGTTGGGCGGGAGGGTGAGCCAGGGCACAGGGCCTGCCAGGAATCGCTGACCTCGGTCCTCTGAGCGGCTGAGGTGCTGGCCTGGGGCCACGTGCCCTGACGGGCGTCATCTTCAGAGCAAGTGGCGGATGTCTCCTAACAAGTCGATGAAAGCCCTGGTGGGTCAAACCCATCAAGGGTCAAACCCAAAGCCCACGGCCAGGGTCACTTTGCACCCAGGGAAAGGGTGATCTTTGTCTTTTCTTTCTTCGGTGGCTGTTTTCGGACAGGGGTCCCAGAACCTAGGCCATCGCGAGTCTTCGGAAAAGCTAGGTCCTTTGACCATTCCTACGTTCCCCATGGATGTGAACTTCACATCTGTCCAAAGCAAGAGGTTTCAGAATAGTGGCCCACAGGTTGGCAGAGCCATGTGGTTTGCCCTGAACTGTTTCAAAATTGTTTTCATGTTGAGACAATGCGGTTACCATCTGGGAAAAATAAAGTGAGTTCCATACCTCACTCTGTACGCCAGGAACAGTTCCAAAATTCCAAATGGATTAAGGAGGAGTTCAATGTGTAAAATGAATTTATAGAATAAGGAGGCGGAAACATTGGAGAATCATAAAAAATCCAGCAGCCATAAAAGAAAATTGTGATATTTAAAAATTTTAAATCCTCTGCATGGCAAAAACAAGCAGAAAATTCAACCAAAAAAAAAATATGAAAACAAAACAACAGAATTCTAACCAAATGCAAAAGCCAAATGACAAACTAGTAAAATATATTTTCAGCTTGTACTACAAAGGGATAATCTCCTTAGTATATAAACATCTCCTACAAATAAATAAGAGGAAAGAAACCCCCCAAAATAGCAAAGGATATGAATAAGCATTTCACAGAAAAGACTATGCAGAAGGCATTTTCAAAATATGAAAAGATATTAACCTCAATCTGTAAGCATGAAAGAATATTGAATACTCAGTTTTCATTTATCACGCTGGCCAAAATAAAATGTTTTTTATGACACTGTTGGTGAAATTTTGAAGAAAGGTGCATGCTTATACACTGGTGGTGAGACAGGACTCTCATGGAGATCATGGGCAGTGTCTATCAAAGCTAGGAATGTATGCACCCTTAGGCAATGTGCATACCCAGCTCCATCCCCAGAGATCTAGCCTCCCAGTATATACACACAAAGAGAAATGATAAATTCAAAAATTTACTCACTGCACATTGCAATAGCAGGAGATCGGACAGAATCTGTGTCCATCAACTAGGGATTGGCTCAGTTACAGTACCTCCATACATGCATGGATGGGTGGAATCCTATGAAGATGTAAAAGTAGAGTAGGAGTTCTTTACGACTGGGTGAGGAGAATCCCCAAAGCCAAAGTGGAAGAAGGACACGATGTGCTATCACCTGTGTAAGAAAGGAAAGCACTAAAGTTCTCTGGGAGGATAAACAGATATTTGAAAATGGTGAACATTCTGTTTTCAGTGAGATGTGGCCTTTCCATTTTTATTTTATACTTTTTGATATTTTGGTGTTTCCCTATTCAAAAAATTCAATTAAAATAAGTTGCTAGCAATTAAAAATCAGGACATTTCTCATGAAGAACTGGGTTACCAGCTTCTACTCAAAAACTAAAATATGGCAGTATTGGGCTCATATTCTAGCCGGATGATAAAGTTGAGTCCCTTTAGAAGGGCCTCACTCTCCACGTTTCTCTTGTATCTAAATTATCTCATGAATTTCTTAACATGCCTGGACTCACTGGTATTTGCATTTGCAGAAGTCCTCAACAAATTATTAGCAGACTGAATCCAGAAACATATAAATAGGATTAAACACCATGACCAAGTGGGCTATCTCCAAGGGATGCAAGGTGGGTTTAACACCTTAAAATCAATCAGTGCAACATACTTAGATCAATAAGAGTATTAAAACCCCCCACAAAATCATCTCCATAGATGCATGAAAAAGCATTTGACAAAACTCAGTGTCCATTCATCATAAAGGCACTCCTTCTTGGGGTCAAAAGGAGAGTTCCAGAGAAGAGGTGAGAAGCCGGACAGACACCCCCAAAGGGGTCTGTTTCCAGGATTATCAGTTCTCTCAAGACAACCTGTTGACCAAGGCACCTGGAGGCCTCAGGGCATCTCCCTCTGCATCTTAAAGCAAAGTGCTTTGTCCACTGGTCAAGAGCACAACCATCTTTGGGTTTGCAAGAATTCAAAGCAATTATGACTGAGCAGCTGTCACAGAATTTCCTCTCTGAGCCCTGTGTGTTTGCTGTAGACATAAAAGATTCAGAATTTGTCTTATCAGGAAGCACCATCTGGATGCATTTTAGCCTTGCAAGCAGCTGGGCAGGGCCGGTGGCCGGAGGCTTGCTTCTGCCTTCTTCTCTGGGACTTCTGACGACTGTGCTTTGCTGTCGGCCTGTGATGCCGAGTTTGAGGAAGGAGGTAGAGAGATGGCTGCTGGGGGCAGGTGTACTCCGTCAAGAGAATGACAAGATTCCCTCAAAGCACCAAGTCAAGCCAAGCCTGACTGCGGGAGGTCGGCCCCTCAACCGGAAGGACTTCCTCATGAGGTCATCCAAGGGAGCAGCACCATCATACATGCTAACGGTCAGTGTTTCATCAGCAAGGCTCTTCCGGGCGGAGACGTGCCCGAGGAGCGGGCAAAGGAGACCTGGAGGAGCACCCTGGACGATGAGGTCTGTGCTTTCCTTCTGTGGGCACCAGGGCTGGGGTGGCTGCAGCGGTGACCCCTCCCGCAGTAAGGGTGCCCAGTGAACGCCCATGGTCTCCTCATGGCTCCCAGGGAACCATGGAGACATCACAGCATCATCGTGCACACGTGCTGTTTTCTACACACAAACTGCACCCCTGGGTGTAGAGATGGGGGTTCTTAGGCTGTCCGATGAGGGTATGTTTGTTGAATGGAGAGAAATAGCATCAGTGGTCTTACCCAGGAGACCACTGGTAGCAAACAGATGAACTGGGGAAGGCTCACGCTGTAGCATCATTCACTTGTGTCTTTAGAATGGTGGGAAAAAATTTAAAATTAATTTAAAAAGGGACTTCCCTGGTGGTCCAGTGGTTAGGATTTTGCACTTCCACTGCAGGGGGGCACAAGTTTGATCCCTGGTCGGGGAACTAAGATCCCACATACCAGAAGGCGCGACAGAAGGAAAAAGAATGGTGGTTTTCCAGCTTACTTGTCCTTTGGAGTCAGCTGGGCCACAGCCTGTGACCAATTGCGTCAGAATCTCTTGGGGAGGGTCCTCAGAATCTCTAAGTGTTAAAACTCCCCAGGTGACTTGGAGACGCAGCCGGTTCTGGGACACGTTTTCTAAGAGCTGTTAAGAAGAATTTCAAGGTTTCCTTTGAAGAGTGTCGAGACCTCAATATCCGTTTCACATCCTCCCTGGTGTAATGGATGGAATTGGGTTTGAGTTGGTTTCTGGTTTGGGCTTCCCTGGTGGCTCAGATGGAAAAACATCCGCCTGCAATGTGGGAGACCCGGGTTCGATCCCTCAGTAGGGAGGATCCCCTGGAGAAGGAAATGGCAACCCACTCCAGTGCTCTTGTCTGGAGAATCCCATGGATGGGGGAGCCTGGTGGGCTACAGTCCATGGGGTCGCAAAGAGTCGGACACGACTGAGCGACTTCAATTTCACTTGAGCCGAACTGATCGCGCCCCAGCTCGGGATGGGCACTGCCTGATCGAAGCCCAACCAGGTGAGCCTAGCTCACGGTGACTCACCAGGGTGGTTCTGGTCTAAGCCTTGTTTGGTGGTGTTCAGTCAACAAATTGTGTCTGACTCTTCGTGCCCCATGGACTGTAGCCCGCCAGGCTCCTCTGGCCATGGGCTTTCCCAGGCAGAAATACTGGAGTGGGTTGCTATTCCTTCTCCAGGGGATCTTCCCTTCCCATGGATTGAACCCAAGTCTCCTGCACTGGCAGGCGTTTTTTTTTTTTTTCCTTCAAACCACTGAGCCACCACGGAAGCCTGTCTTAAGCCCACCATCATGGAAACTGGTTCTGGAATGATCCAATTGGCCCCCAGTTCAGGACTCTTGCTCAGTAGTGAGGGAGGGGATACCCTCTCTCAGGGCAGGTGAATGGGAAGCAACAGGAACGCCAGGGCACCTGCTTAGAATGAAGGTGACTGCGTGGGTGGCAGGGCCAGAAGACAAGAGGCCCGGAGGCCTGCCCACATCGCCGGGCAGCCTGCCTTCTTTGGGCACCACTGCTGCTTTCAATTTTCCTTTACAAAAATCCCAATTTGAGTTGGAGTTCCCATTACTGCCAATGAGAATCCTATGTCAGAAAAAGGGGTCTAAAACCAGGTAAGAAGAGTTGGGTACTCAGTGATGGGCAGAGACTTCCCTGGGAAACTGAATCAAAGCCATCTGTTGACAAATGGGTTTGGTGCCATCTGGCATGCATTAGGTAACATGAGTCCACAGAGACACAGCCAATTTTTCCAGTCTTGCCTGGGCCAAGGAAAAGGTCTCACCTTGGTGCTAGTCTGCCCTGGACCCCTCTGATTTTCCTTTTCAACCAACAAAGCAAGTCTCAGACTCACAGCCCTCGGCAAGCAATGGCAGGTGGCAGTCTGTCTTACCGTTTTGCCTTTGTGTTTTTAGGGGTGCCTCCATTAATAGCAAATCACGCTGCTTGGACTTTTCTTGCAAAAATACAGTTTTCCCTTTTAAAAAGGGGAGTTGAAACATACTAAGTATGTAAAGCTGTTAGGCAGATGTGGTAAAAATGTGAATGAGTCGTTTGGGAGACACTGTGCTGGGGAAAGTAGGACGTGTTGGTTTAAAACCCAGGGCTCACGTGTCCTTGCGTTCACAGCAGGGAAAGCCTTTCTTGAGAGGGTAGTCTTCAGCCAAGATCAGGGCTGGATGGTGTGGCTGGGAAACCCAGGCTGTGTACTCAAGATATCCTGGGTCCAAATGAGCATCTCCCCTCTGCCAGCTGGAGTCTTGGGACAAGTTGGCTTCGCTCAAGCTTCATGTCCTGAGTACTAACACTCCTTTTACAAGACTTTTTTTGAGGGGGTGGAGGTGGATTTAGGGAATTGGGGCAGGACTGTTTTGAGGATTCAAATTATCTTGGAACCTAGTGCCCTACACTTGTCGAGCGTTTGGAGAGTTTGGAAAGTTCTTGTTGAGTCAGTATGTGCTCAGGATGTGTGCTGCGCTCTGGGTGATTTTATGAACAGTGTCAAACTCCTGGGAAAGGTGGAATGTTGCCCCTGGCCTGGAGGTTCCCTCCTTGGAGGACTCTGTATTTAAGCCTCTGGAGTCCTCTCCGGGGGAAGCCGACACAGCCAGCCCAGCAGATGCAGCCGTGCAGCCATCTTTTCACCTGCTAGCCTCAATGCGGGGTCTTCAGTTTTCACTCCCAGATGGCTGTCCCTGTTACACAGTGGTCACATTCTGCTTCAGGCTAGATGGCGACACTTACCACATGCATGCATTGGAAAAGGTCCTTTTATTTCTAGCCTCTTGCTTTATCAGCTTCCAAAAGGTGGATGATTTGCTTATCAGGAAATCCATTTTGTTTCACTTGGTAGTAAGAAGATATTAATAAAGGTACAGCCAAATTTTTGCAAAAACCAGTTTAGGTTTGACTGTCCTTACATCTTTCTAAGGGGTCCTGATGGTGTCCCAGTGCGCAGGTGGGGGTTGGTTTGCATCACAGATGCGTGTTGTACACATGCTGAAAAAACAGACGCCCCCAGCACCTGTTACATGGTGCAGAGCATGTGTCCTGGAAATACTGGGGCCCTTCCCTCCTGTATCCTTAGCTGGAGCCCTTTGAAAACATGACTCGATTTTCAGGACATCTGCAGCTATGCCTTACATGCAGATTTTTCAATACAACTCCACTAAGTTGTAATCCCTCTAGGATTCAAGTCATAGTGAATATTAATTTTTTAAAGTGGAGTTTGTTGATGGACATAGCAGGATGCAAAGAATTGCCAAATAGCAATCTTCCTTTTGTGCAAGTTTTGATTCATTTTTGAGCTAAACTTCTAGTAGCAGTTGGTAGAAAACACCTTTTTATCTTTTAACTTGCCTGTCTGGTTTATCTCAGTCTTTTTCTAGATCATGTCAAGGTGGCCCGTTAATAACTGGTATGTTGGAATGCATTTCAGTTTGGTGAGAGCAGTCTCTTGCCTTTATTTTCGGTCCTCTGGGGGTTTAGGAGTTATGCTCCTACATGACACTTTGGTGAAACATGCCTGCAACTGGTGCCAGGCCAATAAGCTACTGGGTGGGTTAGAAATAAGGGTCAAATGGGTTGAAAAGATCACTGCCTGAGGGAGGGGCAGAAGGCTGACCAGCTGCTCTGTGGAGTCCAGATTCATGTCCTCTACCTAGTCTCTCGGTAAAAATCAGATCTTCCCATCACTCAAGCTAAGTGGCTCTCAAGCTGTAGTGGCGAGATGATCTGAGAGCCCCACCTCAAGGTTTAGTCCTCAGAGTAGAGAAACACCCCTGTATATGGTGATACTCATTTGGCAAAAGCAAGCTGAATGGCCCCTAGAGAAGTGTTTCAGGTGGGGCATTCCTCAGTCTTTGATACAGATCTTTTTCAAATGTATTTTCTCCCTTCTGAAGAAATGTGCATCTTTACAAGTGGGTAGGCATTTGGGCTAGACACAGCCATGGGGGTTGGGAGGGGGAGGAAGGGGCATTTCCTTTTCTGCTTGGAATTTAAGAGGGAACAATGAGCTGTTTGCTGAAGACCCTGGTACTATTCAATGGTAAGGAACCAAAGATGGGACAAGAAAATGCTTCTACGTGCTGAAACGGGAGAAACCATAGTGCTTACTCAGGTTGAGTCTGGATCTTCTGGCCACAGGGAAATTTGAAGGGCAAAAAGTGCTCTGGAATTTTGTTTTTCCTTGTTCAAAAGAAAATCTCCAGGATTATTCATTCAGTCTACAGTTATAGACCTTCTCTAATTAGAAGATGGTAGAAGGTCAGCTTTCCAGATTATTCCAAAAGCAAACAGTAGCAACAGCATTGTTTTAAAATGGCTTTTATTGAGACACTTTCAGGACTTCTCCAATAGTTCTTACTGGGGAATCTTTATTTCCAGTTCTTAGGTGGCTCAACTCTCTTCCCCATGATGACAAGGCCCACTCACACCACCACAGCAAGGAAGTGTACTCATCTCTCTCTGCGCAAATGTCCAGCCCGGGGCGCACCTCCCCACCCGCACCCCCTATTCTGCAGTGTAGGACTCATTAAGACCAAGCTAAATTCTTCCTATTAGGCAGAGTAATTTCAAAGCAAATGTGAGATGGCTTAAATGCAGCTGGTATTACTATCCTCAGGTAAGCCATGTTCTCAATGCCACCTTTTCTGATTAGGTAATCTGTAGCATCTTGGATGTCCACAGCATTTATAATCTGTGAAACAGATTTAAAATAGCTCCAAAAAAAAAAAAAAAAAAAAGCTCCGTGCCAGCCCCAAACACCCTAAAGGTTCTAGTCCATTCTTGTGCTTTCTCCTGTATTGTTCTGAGAGGCATGATGTTACATTCTGGGGGGAGGCTGGTCAAACTTTTGCTCTCAGGTAACAAAAGCGTTAAGCTGAACTTTCTGGAGTCTTGGAGATCATGGAAACTAGCCACTCTACAGAACTCTTTAGGCAGATGTCCCTGAAAGGTGACTGATCAGCCTCCGCATGGACTAAAAGAGCATCCATCCCATCACGTTATCACCACCAAACACATTGGACCACTTCTGCCACCTCCTAACTCCCTGTTCTT